AAAATAAAAAATCACATAATAATTCAAGGGTATAATTGGAAATAAGCTTCTTGTAGAGTCTTAAACCACACACAAGATTAGGTTGGAAATAATGAACCAAACACTTGATAAAAACAGATAAGTTCTGGTGGCATTCAAGACTTCAAATGGCCTTGGAAGCAAATCTGGAGGAACAAAGTGCCACACAAAGTGGCATGCTTTACATGGCTACTAGCCAATAAAGCAGTTTTGACGTTGGATAATGTGGCCAAGAGAGGAATCTCTCTATGTAACAGATGTTCCTTATGTGGTAAGGCTAATGAGACAGTGAGACATCTTTTCTTACATTGCAACTTTACTGAGCAGCTGTGGAAGATTTTCCTTAATCTCAGAGGCATATCTTGGTGTATGCCTAGCAAGATTGATGAGACTCTATTCAGTTGGGAGATGGCTGGAGTTGGGGCTACAAACAGAGAAAGATGGAGGATGATCCCTGCTAGTATTTGGTGGACTATATGGAGGGAGAGAAACGAGAGATGTTTTGAGAATAGGAACAACAACTTGCAGGAAGTAAAGCTTAAGTGTATTTTGTTGTTCTGCTTTTGGTGTACAAATGTCTACTCCAATGAAACTGAGTCAATCATAGATGTTTTAGGATCCATTTAGATTTGGTTCAGTTTTTGGATAGATTTTACTCCTTTCTGCTTTTGTAAATATGGTTTTTCAGTACTACCTAAGTACTAAATGAAATACAAATGTTACTAGTTTCAAAAAATAGTATGGAATGTGGAACCTGATTTTGCATAGAAGATCAGGGTATTCTATTAATTAAATAATAAGACGCAAGAACTACATTGCCCCAAAAACGCAACGAAACATGGGATTCAATGAGAAGTGTGAGTAGTCTCAATGAGATGCTTATTCTTCCTTTACACCGTTTTGTTGCGGGGTGTACGGATAAGATGTCTGGCGAGTAATTCCTTGGTGAGTCATAAACTCCTGAAATTGGGAGGACAAGTATTATAAGGTATTATCACTACGAAAACTATGAATAGAAACTAAATGGAGAAGCCAAAATTCAAGTTAGTGGGGAAAATTATGATGATGGCACATTGTATTGGTACAAGGTGGATGAAATGGAGCTCATCTCCAGAGTTTTGTCTGATAAGAAAGTATCACCAAAACTTAATGGTAAGTTCTACAGAGTAGTGGTTAGACCAATAATGTTGTATGGGGAAGAGTATTGGTCAGTCAACAATTCTCATGTTCAAAAGATGAAAGTTGCAAAAATGAGAATGTTGAGATAGATGCACGGGCTTGACGCAACTTCAGCTTACCAAGGACATGACCTTAGATAGGAGGTTATGGAGGATACATATTAGGGTCTAGGGTAAGTAGATAGTTGAGTGTTGTCTCGCTTACCCTTTCATACTAGTAGTCATAGTAGTTTCTTGGTCTTCCATTTCTGTTACTATTTGTTGTTTCTTCTACTTCGACTATAGTATTATTTTGTTGTAGTTATTGTTCTTTTGTTAGAAGGCTTTGTCATGCTATCTTTAATATTTTGTCATCGCTTCTTCACTTTGGTATTTCTTTCCTAAGTTGCTTTTCAATGCTTTTCCTTGAGCCGAGGTCTTTTAGAAACAACCAATCCTTCCGAGACCCCACTTGTGGGGTTACACTGGGTATTTTGTTATTTTTGGTGCACTCGTGAGATTTCTATTTGTACGGATGAATGTCTGACCATGGTAGAGAACGATCAACTTTTGTAGGTTCTCTTTTTTGGTTTACTACTTTTATTTGGGAGTTTCCCCCTTTTATTAATAAAATTATTCCTTCATTAAAAAAAAATATTAAAAAAATTGGTACCTATTTTTGATTTGTAGGGTCTGACTGGCCTATTGCAATCACCTATTAAAGGGGCAGAGAGACATGGCCTTCCAGGAGTTCTCTCAGGTATCAAGTTTATCCATGCTAATCTTCTGGTCACTATTGCAGGAAAATTGAAGCTCCTGGGAAGTGAAAGGACTTCTCTTAGATAATATATTTTTTCTTGCAGGTATAGCTCTTGGAGTGACTGGACTGGTGGCAAAACCAGCAGCCAGTATCCTTGATATCACCGGCAAAACTGCACAAAGCATCAGAAATCGGAGCAAACTGCATAATCTGGGATCTCATCGCTTTAGGGTCCGATTGCCAAGGCATTTAAACAGAGAACTTCCTTTACGGCCATATTCTTGGGAAGAAGCAATTGGAGTATCTGTACTTAGAGAGGCTGAAGACCATATTAAGCTCAAAGACGAAACATTAGTAGTGTGTAAAGCTCTTAGACATGATGGGAAGTTTGTTATCCTCACTGAGAGACTTATATTAATCGTGTCTTGCTCCAGTATAGTAAAATACAGAATGCCTGAGTTTCAAGGAGTGCCTGCTAACCCTGAATGGTTGGTAGAAACAGAAATCGGGATGGATAGTGTAATTCATGCTGATAACGACGACGATGAGGTAGATATTGTGGGAAGTAGCTCAGACGCATTGTTAAGGCAGAACCATATCTCACATAAAAGAAGCTGGGGACCTAAGGGAAAGAGATGGAACAACAACCCTCGCACATCGCTTCCGCAACTCCAGACTAATTTGGTTTTCACATCAAAAGATGAAGCAGAAGACTTCCTGCAGGTACTTCTATCTACAATTGACAAAGCAAAAGAACAAGGTCGGAGCTCTGTGCATCTTCTTCATCAAAGTAGTCTCAGACAACTATAGAAAGATGTAAAGGATCCAAGTAATTTTCCATCTGTACATTGTACATTATGTACATAATCTACTTTACCCCTCTTCTGTTAATTTATGTCCATAACTGTTCAATTAGTGTAGGACTTCCAATTCTTTAAAGGCACAGCCCTTCTCTCAGACTCTTCACAAATCAACAAAAGCTTGAAGCAAAATTAAATGAAATTGTGATTTTTTGTTTTTTGGTCAGTGGATATACAGAAAATCACAATCACTACAAAATTTTACCTAGTTAAATGTTGTATATTGGTTGAGCTGCAATGCATGGTGATGTGATTCTTAAGAAATCTTCCAATTTTAATTATAGTTTGGGAAATTCACGTCTTAACTCATAAGGTATAAGTTATAACCCTTGAACCCTGATTGATTTCTATTTAGACGGAGGTTAAATTCAACCAAACACAAGGCGGACACTGAATTATTGAAGGGCCATTTGCAAGAATACCCCTGTTTTGGGGTGATTTTTAATTTTGGTCGTTAATCTTTGTTCTTTAGCACTTTAAATAATAAAAATTGAACAAAAATTTACCCCTAGTGTTAAAAAGAATCACTAGGTACAGCCGTACAGGTTATGTCTTATAAGACATAAATTCAGCTTTAGAATCTTATGTCTTAAAAAGTTCATACACATTTTATGTTAAGCAAGAAGAGAAAAAAGCCCCTAGGCCATGTGTTATGTACAAGTAAAGGGGACAATATGTCATATGTTATGAACTTATAATTGTCGAGAGGTAGGATAAGACAATAGGGCTCAAACTCTCGTTACATTTAGATAAGATGTGGTTAAAGTTTCCTCCACTCTATAATACGTATATTACCCTAAAATGGGACCTACTGCTATGAACACATGTTATGTCACGTCTATCCACATGACACTGTAATGTGAAGATACAGACGAAGCAGCTAAAGTCAAATCAGAATATTCCGCTGAAGCAGAAACGATAGGATCGTAAGAAGAAAAAGGCTATACGCCTATCCGTATTATGTAGAATAGCCCGACCCTTGAGTGTGGATCCCTTGCATTGTCCCCCCTTTGATTTTTGTCGATCTCTCTCAAACTGCACACAACTTTTCCCTATCCTCCTATAAGTATGACGGTCCATTCTGATTGGGTCAAGGATTGGATTTCATGTCATATACATGGTGAATTATATTATGTCGATATTTAGGTGATTCTTGTTAAAAGATGTTAGTTTATTTTCAAGTCTAAATGTTTGTTTGAATCAATAAATTTGAAGAATATATCTTCCATGTTGTGATTCATTGTTCATGTTTCATTGTATATTATGTGTAACAATTGAGGAAGTTTTGGATCGGATCTAGAAATAGAAGCTTAATAAATTAGATATTTCTATTTCATTTGCACTTTACGTGTTTACTATTCTAAGTTTGTCAATTATCATTTGAGTCTTTTTATTTACTTTTTAGTCTCTAATGCTAGTCACATTTATAGTTGTCACAAGTTGAGTCTGTTAGATTAGTTTTTGGGTCTCGTTAAATAGTATTTGTATATACATTTACTAGGTTATCTTGAATGAATATCTTGATTTTAACTTCTATTCTACTTTTTCTTTCTTTGTTTTCTTATTTTCATCTTTTTCATGGTGGTTCCAACATTGCATTTCATTGTATTGCATATATTTATCATGGTAAACTTGTGAGTGATTTTATGTGGATCTGGTGATTGATGACTTTATCCAGTGTATTGTTGTTTCGAAATTATCGGAGTGTTGTACTTGAGCTATGAACTATTTAAATTGTAAGCTGTTAGGTTGGGCTGATTTTATGCAGGTTGTTGTGGAGGTTCGGTTAGAGTGAAAGGGGTACCCATTTTCTATATTCTTAGCATGGTGTTTATGAGTTTGCTTGTTGAGTATTGTGCGGTTTGGAACTCACCCTTCTGCTCCGGGGCGCCAGTTCCATGGGTTATAACAAACGAAAAATCAAAGATTTTGGGTAATTCCTAAAAAAGGTCTGTAAATGCGGAAATAGACGTTAAAAATATGTTGTGAGTATATGTGGTGGTTCCCCAACTCATTACGGAGGTCCTCATAAAGTTTTTTGTGAAAAATATTTTGGGTGCTCCGGGCGCCAGATCAATGGGCTACAACACACGAAAAATCAACGATTTTGGAAAATTCCTAAAAAAGGGCTTGTAAATGCGGAAATAGGTGTTAAAAAATTATGTGAGTATATGCGGTGGTTCCCCAACTCATTACGGAGTGCCTCATAAAATTTTTTGAGAATACAATTTTGGGTTCACCGTGGCGCCAGATCCTTAGGTATAAACACACGAAAAATTGAGGATTTAGGTTAATTCCTAAAAATGGGCATATAAATGTGGAAATAGGCATTAAAAAATGGTGTGAGTATACGTAGTGGTTCCCCAACTCATTACGGAGGTCCTCATTAATTTTTTTGAGAATTTTTTTTTGGTTGCTCTAGGCGCCAAATCCATGGGCTATAACACACGAAAAATTGAGAGTTTCGGGTAATACCTAAAAAAGGCTTGTAAATGCGGAAATAGACGTTAAAAATGGTGTAAGTATACGTGATGGTTCACCAACTCATTACGGAGGTTCTCATAAATTTTTTTGAGAATTTTTTTTTGGGTGCTCTACGGAACCAGATCCATGGGATATAACACACGAAAAACTAAGAATTTGGATAATTCCAAAAAAAAGGCATGTAAATGCGGAAATAGACGTTAAAAAATAGTGGAATTATACATGGTGGTTCCCCAACTCATTCAGAGGTCCTCATAATTTCTTTTGAGAAAAAGATTTTGGGTGCTCCGGGGTGCCATATCCATGGGCTGTCCCAGACGAAAAATCGAGGATTTTTGGTAATTCCTAAAAAGGGGTCTGTAAATGCAAAAATATGCTTTAAAAAATCGTATGAGTACATGTGGTGGTTCCCCAACTCATTACGGAGGTTCTCATAAAGTTTTTTGAGAAAAAAATTTGGGTGCTCAGGGCGCCAAATCCATGGGTTATAACACACAAAAAATCGAGGATTTTGGGTAATTCTAAAAAATGGTCTGTAAATGCTGAAATAGACGTTAAAAAATGGTGTGAGTATGCGTGGTAGTTCCCCAAATCTTTAAGAAGGTCCTCATAAACTTTTTTGGAAAAAAGATTTACGGTTCTCCGGGGCGCCAGATCAATGAGCTATAACACACGAAAAAAATGAGGATTTTGGGTAATTCCTCAAAAAGGGCTCCTGTATATACGGAAATAGACGTTAAAAATGGTGTGAATATATGTTGTGGTTCCCTAACTCATTACGGAGGTCCTCATAATGTTTTTTGGAAAAAAAAAAGGGTGCTTCGGGCGCCAGATCCATGGGCTATAATACACGAAAAATCGAGCATTCTAGGTAATTCCTAAATAAGGCTTGTAAATGAAGAAATAGGGGTTAAAAAATGGTGTGAGTATACATGGTGGTTCTTTAACTCATTATGGTGGTCCTCATAAAAAAATTTGACAAAAAAATTTAGTGTTCTCCGGGGCACAAGATCCATGGCTATAAGACACAAAAAATCAAGGATTTTGGGTAATACCTAAAAAAGGCCAGTAAATGCTGAAATAGTCGTTAAAAATAATATGTGTATACATGATGGTTCTCCAATTCATTACGGAGGTCCTCATAATTTTTATTGAGAAAACAATTTTGGTTGCTATGGGAACCAGATCAATGGGTTATAACACACGAAAAAAAATGAGGATTTTGGGTAATTCCTAAAAAAGGGCTTGTAAATGCTGAAATAGGCGTTAAAAATGGTATGAGTATACGTGGTGGTTCCCGAACTCATTATTGAGGTCCTGATAAATAATTTTGGGAAATTTTTTTTGGGTCGTCCGAGGCACCAGATCAATGGGATATAACACACGAAAAATTGAGGATTTTGGGTAATTAAAAAAAAGGGCCTGTAAATGCGGAAATAGGTGTTAAAAATAGTGTGAGTATACATGGTGGTTCCCCAACTCATTACAGAGGTCATCATAATGTTTTTTAAGAAAAAAAAATTGGGTGCTCCGAACGCCAGATCCAAGGGCTATTATCACACATGAAAAATTGAAGATTTTGGGTAATTCCTAAAAATGGATAGTAAATGCGGAAATAGGGGTTAAAAATGGTGTGAGTATACGTGGTGGTTCCCCAACTGATTACGAAGGTCCTCATATTTTTTTTGAGAAATTCTTTTTGGGTGCTTCGGGCCGCCAGATCCATGGGCTATAACATACAAAAAAAAATGAGAATTTAGGGTAATTCCTAAAAAAAGGCTTGTAAATATGGAAATAGGCATTAAAAAAGTTGTGTGAGTATACAATGTGATTCCTCAATTCTTTACGGAGGTCCTCATGAATTTTTTTTGAGAAAAAAGTTTTGGGTGCTCCGGCTGCCAAATTCATGGGCTATAACACACGAAAAATCGAGATTTTTGGGTAATTCCTAAAAAAGGGTTTGTAAATGCGGAAATAGGCTTTATAAATGGTGCGAGTCTACGTGGTGGTTCAAAAACTCATTGCGGAGATCCTCACTCTGGGGCACCAGATCTATGGGCTACAACACACGAAAAATCAAGAATTTTGGGTAATTCCTAAAAAGTGCCTTTGAATGAGGAAATAGGCGTTAAAAAAAGGGGTCTAAGTATACATGGTGGTTCCCCAACTCATTACGGAGGTCCTCATAAAATTTTTTGAGAAATATTTTTTGGGTGCTCTAAGCGCCAGATCCTTTAGCTAAACACACGAAAAATCGAGGATTTTTGGTAATTCCTAAAAAAGGGTTATAAAAGAGAAAATAGGCATTGAAAATAGTGTGAGTATACGTGGTGGTTCCCCAACTTATTACGGAGGTCCTCATAAAGTTTTTTATGAAAATAATTTGGGTGCTCCGGGGCATTTGATCCATGGCTATAACTCACAAAAAGTTGAGAATTTTGGGTAATTCCTAAAAAATGGCATGTAAATACGAAAATAGGCATTAAAAAAGGTATGAGAATACGTGATGGTTCACTAACTCATTACGGAGGTACTCATAAGGTTTTTTTTGTAATTTCGATTCTCCGGGTGCCAGATCCATGGGATATTATAACATACGAAAAATTGAGGGGTAATTCCTAAAAAGAGGCTTGTAAATACGAAAATAGACGTTAAAAAATAGCTTGAGTATACGTGGTGGTT